TCTTACTCGATAAGAGCAAGACAAGTACCATAAGTCTTGTCCGGTAAGTGAGAGAGACGACTCTTACCACGGTAAACATTTACCAGGTAAATTACTGCATATCATGTCGTTTTTATGAACTAAAGAGTCTTGTCCGGTAAGTGAGCAAGACAAGTACCAAGAGTCTTGTCTAGTAAGAGTTTTATAACGTTTTTTTAGATATTTAATTCTTATTTTTAAAAAAAATTAGATGGTTTAATTAACGTTTTTTTTAATAGGGAAAAGTTTAAAAATACCCAACGAACTATCTCATTTTGAATGATTAAATCCTCTAACTATTTTTTTGAATGAAAAAACCATTAAACTTTCCCATTTTAAATGATTAAGTCTTTAAACTATATTTTTAAATTAAAAAACCATTAAACTCTTTCTTTTTGAATGAAAAACCATTAAACTCTCTCATTTGATTGATTATGTCATTGAACATTTGTTTAATAACTGAACTGTCACATTTTTTAAAATTGGTTACCTACATCATTTTAACTCACCAAAGGGCCTTTGGCCTAGCGGTATCGTAGCTTTTGGCCTTCTAGGAGGTCAGAGGTTCAAACCTCACCATAGGTGAGAAGAGTGTGTGAGTTTATTTGTTGCATTTGCCGTATATAAATATTATATACTTCAAAAAAAATTAACTTAAAAAAAGTTACATTAACCAACAAATAAAAGCTTGATGATTTATTTTTATTTTTTTAAATTCAGAACCTTAATCAATCAATGTGTGAAAGTTAATGGTTTTTTCATTCAGAAAAATAGTTTATGGACTTGATCATTGAAAATAAAAAAGTTTAATGATTTTTTCGTTCAAAACAAAAAAAAATTATTGGATTTTTTAAAATTTTTCCGTTTTTAATATTTATATATTTGTATGTCATTGCTTGGTAACTACTTTTACATGATAGGAAATGTATCATCAATATTCGATATCTTTAAATGCTTACATTATAAAGTGTTCAAGTAAAATATCCAAAACAATTTGTAAATTATTGGATATGATTTATTAATATATAATATTTTAAAATTTAAGTTTATAATTTATTATATATATATATATATATATGTATAGAGAGAGAGAGAGTTATTATACAACCAATACAACTCAATCTCAATCGTCCATTTAATTTGATGAATATGTAATTTCATAGAAGTTTTGATTGTTTCATAATATAAAGTATTAATCATAATTAATGAACCTTATTCATCTTTCATAAATATTTAAATCATAATAAATGAACACTCGTCGTTTTTACAAATATTTCAATTTATTAATTAAATTGATTGTACAAATATAATGGGTTGCATTTGAAACAAACTCTCTCTCTTTCTATAAATGAAGGGAGAAAGCGAAAATATATTTCTATTTAATTGTTTTCATCAAATGTATTCCCAAAAAGACAAATTTAAAAAATATTACTTTGAAAAACATCTTTTCAGGAAGCGTATTTTCAAAAAACACATCAAATTTCACATTCGAACATACGGATCTTGATATAACTATTTACCAAAATAAAAATCATCACTCATCATTAATTATAATTGGGTACTCAATAATAGAAATTAAAAAACTATAAAAAAATAATGGAAATTCATTTAAATAATCATTTTTTAGGGTTGGTTCCACATCTTCGCTATTTTCTCTCCAAGTTTACTAAAATAGTCATAGGTCCGCAAAAAACGGACGTCCACAATTGCAGACCAAGCTAAAAGACAAAAAAATTTACACTTTTTATCCTTGTCCCAAAAAAAATTACATTCTTCACCTAGGTCTACATATTTTTTACATTTTTCACCCAAGTTCGTAAACAACTTTAAAATTGCAAACTTAGACCTATTTTTGATAAACCTTATAAAAAATGACTAAGAAGTGAAACCAACCGATAAAAATGACTATTTTAATTAATTTCTTAAAATATTTAATTTGAATGTGTAATTATGTTTATCAAATAACCAGAATTTCAAATAACTTATAATAAAAACTATATTTGTAGTTATATTGCTAAAAAGAAAAAAAATTAGTGGGTTATATTTTTTTAATCCATTTTGAAATAGCCACATGATGCGTCGTACCTAATGTTATTACAATTGTATGTGTTTTTAAATGAAGGTGCCTATATAAAGAGCGACGTAAGTAATCAAATGAGAACTCAATATAATGTGATAAGTGTCAGAATTTTAATTTTAAGGTATTGTTTTACATGATTTTTTTTATCTAATGTTAGCATTTAATGTATTAATTAATATTTGTTTTACAATATGTTTTTACTTCATATGTATTTAATTCATAATGTGAAACTTTTTTACGTAAAACAAACACGTTGTGAAACAAATATATTTTAATTAATATTCTAAATCTTAGTCTTAGATGAAAAAAAAAAATCATATAAAAAATCACAATTTTATGGATTCTCAAGAGAAGATCCTCTATATACACACACACAAAAAAACATATATATATATATATATACACGTATATATGCATATGTATATATGTGTGTGTATATATATATATATGTATATGTGTATATATGTGTGTGTGTATATTTATGGGACCGATTGGAACGGGTTTGAGACTGAGACTGGTGGTCTGGGACCGGTTATAATATTTCACCGAAAACAAGGCTCGGCCCGAGACCGGTATGGGATAGGTTAAGGGCTCGACCTAGGACCATCCTAACTTTTAATTTAAAATGTATTTTTAAGTATATTTTTAAATTTAATTTTAAATGTATTTAGTTCATTTAATTAAATATTTTAAAGTATTTGATTGACCAAATTCTTTATAACAAAAACTTATTCTTTTAGTATATTTGATTGACCAATTATAATAAAAACGTATTCGTTAGTGTATTTGATTGACAAAATTCTTCAAAAAATATTTTTTATATGTTAAAAATCAATTTTAAACAAATTAAAAAAAATAAGTGGGACCAATTTGAGCCCAGGCCCGGGACTGGGACCGGTTCTCATAACTGGGCCTCATACATTTTAACCGATCCTTCATATTGGGTCGGAACCGGGATCATTACGAGAGAACAATTTGGGATCGGGACTAAGACCGATTTGGACCCAGTCCAAGACCGATTTTTGGCCGCCTCTAGTTAGAGATGACCTTTTCAATTCTATCACATTTCACCTGATTCCAATAAACCAAACATTAATTAAGAGATTATTTATTAAATTATTTGGATTAAGTGTCCATATAAGTTAAGATAATTTTTTTTATATGCTGAATAAATAATTTGAGTGACATAAACTTAAATGATATGCATTTAAACATAAAAAATTCTGATTTTCTTTTTGAATGAAGATACATTTAAAAAAAATCCTCCATCTTGCTGTATTGCATGAATATACAACTAATAATAGTAACATAATATTGTAGACTTAGAAATATCAAGACTGGATACAAAATTAAACAGTAAACATTATAAAATAAATATAAAACCCACAACCCATATAACCTCTTACGAATGATCGTATGGGAATATGAGTTAAGATGAGAAACGTAAGATGTGATCTGGACTCCTTAATCACTTTTAATCGCAACAGAAATAAAGAAAAAAAATTTAACATAGATTTTTTCATTCATTCGCATCCAATCAAAAAACATTACCACCCCACTCTGTGAATTGGGTTTGATATGGGAATTGATTCGATTCATTTTGATGCATTTCATTAGTGTTGATCATTTCTTACCATTCTCACCATAACTTCCATTCTTACCGAAACTCATCCCACTATAACCTCTGGTGAGAATGAGAGTTCAGGTGAGAAGTATAAGAAGAGATCTTCGTCATTGGATGCATATTATAGGATGAGATACAACGAGATGAGACGTACCAAGATGCAACATATCAATCCCCGTATCAAATGCTATTCATGGGTGGGTTTGAAATTAAAAGTGATGAAAGATCCTAATCACTTCTTACACTCCTAACACGATCCTACACTTATATATATATATATATATATATATATATATATATGAAAACCACTCCAATTTGTAAAAACAGTAAAAACTACTCTCATCTGTCGTTAATTTTATGAAATTTTTTCATGAAATTGTTAATCTTGTGAAATTGAGTGGTTTTTATTTGAACCCACCCATATATATATATATATATATATATAGAATAGTTCAAACGAGAACATCTTCATTTACGAGAACGCGGGAACACCCTTTTACTATACACAATCACATGTGATACTATTATTCCATCGCATATGATACAATGTGATACTAATTCATTGACGTGAGCGATTTTCGATGCGATATTGGTTGCGGGCCAAGTCGCCCTTATACCATTAAGCTCCCTCACAAGTACTATCACATGTGATAAGAGTGTTGTTGATATGATACTATAATCCATCAAGACCATCATGTGATGCTAAATCATAGATGCAGACAATCTTTCGCGACACCTAGGTCGTAGAACACGTCGTCCGCACATCATAGGGTCCCCTCATGCATATTATCACACATGATATATATAGGTGTTCTCGCCTCTTGCGTTCTCGTAAAATGAAGATGTTCTCGTTTGAACATTCATCTATATATATATATATATATATATATATATATAATAGTTATATTGAATCACACCTTTAATTACTCCCTCTAGTTTTGAGTTTTAAAACACGAAATATACAGCACTGATATAAGTAGTGAGTTTTAGGGATCAAAACAAAAGAAACAATCAAAGTATAAGGACCAAAGGTGCAATTTATTTATTAATGTTTCGTACGTTCATGCAATTTATAAATATTTATCAAAGCCACTGCAACCGTCAACATGCAAACTTTATCAGCTTTCTCTCTCTACTTTTCTGGGTTGCAATCCGCATGAAATTGCAAGCAAGTGTGTGTGTATGTGAACTTCAATTTCTTGCCTAGATTATTAATTGTATAAAATGGCTAGAATTCAAGCTAATAAATGGTGTATCATGAAATTGGGGATGATGATGATGATGTTGAGCTTGGTGTTAGCTTCGTGGGAACAAAGCGTGATGACAGAAGTTTCTTCAGCAGCAGGAGATGGTGATGGTGTTGGTGATGAATTCGGGTCGGGTTACTTTTTAAAGATGGCTTACTACTTGTTTCAAACAAATGGATCGGGTTACGAGCATGTTTGGCCTGTAAGTTTTTGTAGCTCTTATTCATTTAATTTGTTAAACTTCATCAATTGCTGGTAAGTTTTAGCATCGAATTGCAAAATTTCACTTCCTAAGAGTATTGGTTTTATCAAACTGTTCATTTCCGTTGTCGATTTTGGCCATTTTCTTGTTTCCAAAGTGAGAAATTGAAATGTTTAAGGGAGAATATGATACGTTTTTGACCTCGAATTTTATCCCAATCTTGTGGATTGAGAATGTGTCTCTCTCACTCTCATTAGCGATCAAAGTTGCCCCTGTCTTGTTCTCCCCTGCAGATCAAGATCAACAACTTGGGTACACCCCAAAAGAACCACACCACTAACTATTGTAATACATCTGATAAACTAGTCATGTTTGGTAAAAAAAATAGTTGATAACAATGTAAAATGAACTAAAATGTTAGGGTTTTGGTCATTTACGATCAAAATTGAGGAGTCTTAATTGGAAAAAGGTGAAAAAAAGCTCAAATAAGCAATAGGCTGGCTTATGGCTTACCAAATCAACTGCTTATGCTTTCAAGAATGAACTGCTGATGATTTCAAGGATGAGAAGTTTAAGAAGAACGTTCATGTACAGGAAATGGAATTTGGGTGGAAAATTGTTGTGGGTAGCGTCGTTGGGTTCTGTGGAGCAGCATTTGGGAGTGTTGGCGGAGTTGGAGGTGGTGGTATATTTGTTCCCATGCTTACCCTTATTATCGGATTTGATCCTAAATCTGCAACTGCTATTTCCAAATGTAAGAGAACCATTGCTTCATACATTGATTTTATCTTTTTCACATGCGAGTTTAGCTTTTGTTTTCATGGCATTACAGCTATAGTTGACATACTGTGCCTTCATAAAATAGACTGTTTTCCCTTCCTTGCTGGAAAATTTACAAATAATCAAACACATATATATAGACTATGTTTGGCAAACCAGCTGATATAAGATGATCAAAAAGAACATGTTGAAAAGTTAATTGGAAAAATAAAACTGCCATAATTGGTAAAAGTAAATAAAACCCTTTTGGAGCTTGTTGGAATGTCACTTGAAGTAGCACTACAACAAAAACGGGTTTAGAGAACACAGAAAATGACTAAGTGTTCTAATAGACTACTTTATAGGACTTAATTAAGTTTATAGGACCCAACATTTGGGTCTCCTATCAAAATGTGTTGTAATAAGTTTATATGACATTTTTTGACGTTTAAAAAGTTTTTTAGGCCACTTTTTTAACCGAAAAGTGTCCTATTAGTGGGTTTATATATGGAACACTTAAAAAAGTGTATTATATAACAAGTGTCCTATAAAAAGACGTGTTTATAAAACACTTCTTAAAAAATCCTATAAAAAGGCTAATAAGACAAATTTTTTTCAAAAGTGTCCTAAAAAGTTTGTTAAAACGTCTAAAAGTGTCCTATAAAATTATTACAACACTTTTAGATAGGTCATACAAATGTTTGGTCGTATAAAGTTAAGTCACATAAAGTAATCTATTAAGACAATACTTTTGGCATCCTATAAACTCAATTTTGTTAGTTTTTCAAAAAACTAGCTTATAAGCTATGCTAACCAAATGGGACGATAATTAAATTTTTTGATGGAATGGAGCAAGTACTAAGTTTATGAACAAAAAAGATGGGTTGTTTATGATTATGTTTTGCAGGTATGATAATGGGGGCAGCAGGCTCAGCTGTTTACTACAATCTTATGCTAAGGCACCCAACACTTGATATGCCCATCATCGACTACGATTTGGCACTGCTTATCCAACCAATGCTAATGCTAGGAATTAGTATTGGAGTTACATTCAATGTCATTTTCTCTGATTGGATGGTCACAGTTTTGCTAATTGTTCTCTTCATAGGTATATCTTTCTGTTAATTTCTTCCTTTGATGCATGGTTGCTACTGATTAAATGACATTATTAATTTCATATATGAATCACAAACCTACTGCAGGCACCTCCACCAAAGCCTTCTGCAAAGGCGTTGAAACATGGAAAAAAGAAACGATAATGAAAAAGGTAATTAAGAGTCGGGGTTTACAGAATTTTGTCAACAAAATCTCCAAGGAATGCACCTTGATTTCCATTAGTTTTCTACAGAAGCCTTCAGTTTTGAATACTCACTACAACAAAATTAAGTTTATAGGACTCCTATAACCTTATTGTAAAACTTTTAGATAGGACACTTTATAATCTTAAGTCCTATAAAGCACTCTATTAGGATACTTAAACACTATAGGAGTCCTATAAAGTATAAACCCGATTTTGTTGTAGCGACTCTTAGAATCTTTTGATATTTAGAGGAGTTTTAGGTCCTTTGCAGCAGAACCAAAAAGCTTCTTGTAAACTCAAAAGTTTCTAGATCTAGATACTGTTGTACCTATCAAGAATCCTCCATGAAGGCAAATTAATCATTACCAAATAAGAAATCCAACAACGCGTTTCAAGAAGTTAACTGTGTCCAACTAGCATTCGGACTGTGGGTTCCATCGAATGCAAATTAATCATTATCATACTGAAAACTTGTTTAAAACAAACATATTAAACATAAATCACTTAATTTGTTGATATATGTTTGTTTATTTTATAATTTCAGGAGGCTACCAAACGCTTGAAGACCAATGGTGGGTACTCATCCTTTTTAATCCAGCTCCAAGAAGGACATCTTGATTACAATCTAGTTTTTTTTTTAGCTAATAGAACCAGTTTCATATCTATGCTGTCAGGAAGTGGTGCCGATATAGAATACAAACTTCTTCCTGGTGATGGGAATCCTGAAAAATCATTGGAACAAGAGGTGAGATCATTGCCTCATGTGAAGAACCCACTTCTATTTATTCTTCAGTTCTTAACATGCTTAATGCTAAAAATCTCAGATCACAATCTTTGAGAATGTTTATTGGGAGGAACTTGGGCTTCTTCTCCTTGTTTGGGTCTCCTTCCTTGTCCTGCAGATTGCAAAGGTTCTTAATTACTAGTTTTCTTGATATCATATGCAACAAGTCTTTCAGTTTCTCTTAACTTTGTCTATTGATTTGGTGACAGAATTATACCTTTACTTGTTCAATATGGTATTGGGTGCTGAATTTGCTGCAGGTATATATACCTACAAATCTCAACGTCTGTGCATCTAATGCAATTTTTTTGATCAAATCTTGAAACTATGATATGGGGAATCCACATTGACTTTGTTTTTTCTTGACCATAAAGATTCCTATTTCTTTTGGGGTATCCGGGTATGAGGCAGTTAGTCTGTACAAGGGATATAGAAAAATATCATCCAAGGGAGATTCAGGCACCAACCTTCGAGTAGGCCAATTGGTGTCGTATTGCTCTTGCGGCATTCTGGCTGGTCTAGTTGGTGGCCTACTTGGTTTAGGTGGAGGTTTCATCATGGGTCCACTCTTTTTGGAGCTTGGAGTTCCTCCACAGGTCTGTTTCTGTTTTACCATGCACTTTGAAATTCAATAGCTTTTCCATATTTAAAGGGTACATGCCACCTTTTGGAGCATCGGTCCCACGGGCATCATGGGGAGGTAAATCACTGCGAGTCACCAGTAAGTGGTGATGCCTGGGTTTTGGCAGTGTACAAATGGCATATACAAATGATGGCAAAAAAATCACAAGCCAGGGGTTTTCAAGGAAAAAGCCACTCTACTTTTAGGGAAAGAGATCAATTCTACTTACATCTTACCCCCAAGATCCGACCTCCAGATGGAACATATGGGTCCGTCCCATGATGCTGAAATAAAGGCATTGTCAATAGTCTATTTTGGTACCACTTGATAGCGTAGTTTTTCCCTCGGGAAGTGAATGACTTCCCTACGCAACCCTTTCAAAGCTGAGTAATATTTTATATGAGTCTCAATGTTCATCGATAAACTTCTGCAGGTTTCAAGTGCCACTGCGACCTTCGCTATGCTATTCTCGTCGTCTATGTCTGTTGTAGAGTATTACCTTCTGAGACGTTTCCCCGTTCCTTATGGTAACTACACCTTCCATTTTATCAAATAACTTTGCGATTGAAGTAGTGAATTAATGAATTTAGAATAAATAGTTCAATTGAGGATGAAAAAAGAGAATTCTTGGTTGAATTCTCCACATTATAGACCTAAATAAGGATAAACCAAATTTTATCGAGTCCAACCACTACTCATCATTTACTATTAGCTTATGGAGGACTCTCTTTTCATGTTTCATATTTTCGTGTGGGAAGGATTATGAAACTAAAAGGCTGTTTACTAAACAGTTACTGCCCCTTACTAGGTTACTAAACATTAACTGCCACTTACCGGGTAAGAGACACTTACCTGGTTTTATGATGGTGTTTATCAACAGCTTATGGTACCATTTAGCTGACCAAAAATCTTACTCAGGTAAGTGAGGATGGTGATGCTTACCGGTTCAGCACTTACTGATGTTGTCATAGATGATGGTATTTACCAACAATTTTATACGGTATGGTAAATGAGGGTGGTGACTCTTAACTGGGAAGTGCTTATGCAATAAGTGTTGATAAACGGGCCCCTAAAACTTCAGAAAAAACCAAATCAAACCAAACTAGTCCGGTAAATTCCACACTGAGTAGGGTGTAGGAGGGTAGAAGGCTGGGTTCTAATGATAACCCGGATACCGCTAGGCCGAAGGCCCTTTCTGACCTAGTGGAATTTAATATACGGAAGTGTTAAAGGTGCATCTGCTATGATCTGATATGTGCCATTGTAAGTTACGAAAAACCACTTGGATGTTGCAAAAAACAACTTGTTTGTTATTTTTTAATGAAACTATACTTTTTATAATTAATTTTTGTTTCATTCTATGTTATGCTAATTACTCTGTGGCCCACTTGAAAATTTTTCAGTATCCGCCTCTGAAATGGAGGTAGCACAGATAACCATCTCTTTAAATCTTGGTTGTACTTTCACAGCTTTGCACTTTCTTGTTGTGGCCACAATTGCTGCTTTCATCGGGCAACATGTCGTAAGAAAGCTGATTATCCTATTGGGACGGGCATCACTCATCATATTCATCCTCGCATTCACCATATTTGTTAGTGCAATCTTATTAGGTGAGTAGACAAGTTTGGATTGCCAATTTCACGTTTTTATTTTGCATGACACGAGAAGAAATGAATATAAAAACCCACAAATGTTACTTAAAATATGTTTCTACTTACATGACATGAGAAGAAATGAATATAAAAATCCACAAATGTTACTTAAAATATGTTTCTATTTACATGACATGAGAAGAAATGTTACTTAAAATATGTCACATTTTTATATCACACATCGATCTGTTTGTTTAACAGGTGGAGTTGGAATCTCAAACATGATCGGGAAAATTGAACAACAAGAATACATGGGCTTCGAGAACTTATGTATGTATGAGGTTTAAGACTACTTATGGTTCAAGTCCATAGCATGGTACGATGACTTGTATATCATGCGATAAAATATTTATACATCGTACGATGAAAGTTGTAGACGTGGTAATCGTATCGGAGAAATCCACATCCCATTACCGTTAATGGTTGGTATCTTGTGCAATAAGATTTGTAGATGGTCTTAAATCATATAATTGCAATTTGTATGATGATGTTCATTTTCAAACCATTTAAACCTATTTCTCAATCATCTTCTCCATGTGTAGGATTCAAGAAATCATGAGGGTAATGATTTTCTCAATGGTAGGATAATCCTTTTGAATCTCTCTCTAAAAAATTCCTAGTAGGGTGGGTTATGTATGTAGAGAAAAGTTCAATCACAAACTTAATTTTCAATGTGAACGTGAGGACTGATTTCAACTGTCCATTTTATTTGATCCAACAACTCGTATTGAATATAATTTTTAATTAAAATTATTAATTTTAGGTGATTAGAGGTAAAAAAGGCATTTGGGGCTGTTTGGTTTGCGGAATTTGATGGAATTGGAATGACAAATTCCTTTGACCAAATTCAATTCCTTTGTTTGGTTCATTTCTTGAAATGGATGAAATCCTTCAAATTCCATTAATTCCACAAATTAATGAATTCATCATTCTTTGGCATAATGGAATGAATTGAATTCCATCACCACCTACCACGACCATGCTACTATTGTTCGTCATGCCCCACCCCTAACCCACCACCACCACCACCACCACCACACCACTATTATCGCCGCCACCCACCCACCTTACCCACACCACTACTGTTGTCATCACATTCACCCACCTCCGGTCACTCCCTATGCATCCCTACTACGACCATGCTACAACTGTTACTGTCATGCCCTAACCTAACCCCCACCACCACACCATTATTGTCATTGTCACAACTGCCACTCACCCCCACCCTACCCCAATTCACCACTAACCACCATGCCACTACTTTCTCCGTCATACCCACCCACTTGGCTACCATCTCACTATTGTCGTCGTCACAGCTGCCACCCATCTCCACCGCCCCGTCCCGCCACCCACCCCGCACCTAACCTAACCCCCCACCTCCACACTACTATTGTCGCCTTCACAACCTCCGCTCACCCGCACCCCACCCCACCCCAACCCAACCCACCACTAAACACCATGTCACTATTGTTGTCGTCATACCCACCCACTCCCAGGGCCAGCACTATCATCATCACAAACTAGCACCCCCCATCTACCCACCCATCGTCCCGCCCCGCCGCCCACCCCTGCCCCACCTTACCCTACTCCAACCCAACAGTACACCACCATCCTACCACTGTAATCATCATAGCTACCACCCTGCCACCCACTGCCCCACTCTAGCCCCACTACCACCACCACCTTGGAGCAAGGGCGGGGTTGGGGTGGTGGGGTAGGGTTTGGATAGGGGTGGGGCAGGATGATAGTTGTGACAACGACAATTGTGACATGGTGGTTGTAGGGTGTGGGTGAGGCGATAGGTGGGACGATTGCTCCAATTCTATTGAGAGATTTCATTCTAATTCCTACCAACCAAACGCGTGGTCAAATTCCATTCCAATTCTTTCAAAGTCAAATTCCTTTGATGGATTCCAATTCCATCAAATTTCATTATGTGAACCAAACACCCCCTACGTTTCAATCCATGCCTACCTTTTTTGACTTTTTATTTTATTTTTTAATTAAAAAAATTTTACCTTCTAAAAAATTTATGATAGATTATCTTAAAAATTATTAATATTTCAAACAAATTACATAAAAAAAACGAGAATTTCATACTCTTCAATATGACATCCATCTCAATATAATTTTTTTTCGATTTAACCGTTTTTTACATGAAACAATATATATGTGTTATATTCATTATGAATATTTATGTACATTGAAGTGAGTACAACAAATTGACACCATAAGTTCGTAACTCGACATCACTTTCTTCAACGTCATAAGGAACCACATTCTTCATCATCGTAACCCAACACCCATCGAGACTGATCAAGAACCCATCGAGACCGAGACCGATCGAGAACAATGGTCGAGAATCCATTAATTGACTTGGTATGTGTTTATATGTGTTAAACCATAACCTACCACCTTCATTTTCCATCGAAAACCTATCAACTCATTTATTATTTATTGTGTGTAACAACCTACACTATCACTTTCATATTTATTGAGAAGAATCGAGAACCTATCGAGACCAATCAAGAACACATAAAGATCAATCGACAACCCATTGGGGCTGATCGACACCAATCGAGAATCCATCCATTGACTTGGTGTGTGTTTGTTTGTGTAAAACCATAACTTACCATTTTTAACATTTTTCGAGATGGATCGGGAAATCTATCGAGACGAATCGGGAACTCATCTAGATCAATCAAGAACCCAATAAAGAAAAGGAAAGAAAAACTAAAGTATGTAGAGTTAAAATTATAGTATATTCATGATGAATATTATGGTGAAAATTAATATTTATGATAAATATCATACTAATATAAATAATAGAGAGTTATTCATTATGAATGTGATAGTGAAAATGTATATTCATGACGAATATCATAATAATGTATGAATATTAAAAAGTTGTTATATACATGTGAACATATATAAATATTCATGACGAATAGTATATATATTCTGATGAATAGTATGTATCATATTGATGTATGAATACTAAATAGTTATTGTATACACGTGAACACACACACACACACACACATATATATATATATATATATATATATGATGAACGTTATAAAGAAAACGTATATTCATGATGAATACTATTTTTATTCATGATGAATGTTATAATGAAGATGTATATTGATTATGAATGTCTAGTGATGTATGAATACTGAAGATTTATTTAATACACATGAAAATACATAACTATTCATGATGAATGTTATACTAAGTTGTATATTCAAGATGAATATCATACTAATGTATGAATATTAAAGAGTTGTTGTAAACATATGAACGTGCATAAATATTTTTAATGAATATTACATAGATATACCGTTTGACGTAAAAAACGTTAAAAAACATTAAAAGAAACTAATGTTTTTATAATGAATATTACATAGATATACGGTTTGGTCTATGGTTTGATCATACAAATTGACGATTTAGCCGACCAAACCATTTGTTTACGTATATATATATACAATATTCACTTGCCCTCTTAGCCTCTTGCTTTTGGTATTAGGATAAATACTAAACTGGGTTAAAGGTTTAATTGTTCGTTGTTAATTATTGATTTATATATACATACATATATATATATATATATATATATAGAGAGAGAGAGAGAGAGAGAGAGAGAAAGAGAGGAGACAGATCAAATGCAAACCCTACCATTTATACAAGCATTGCAAACACAATTCCTCCAATCAGAAGGCACCAATTTTCTTAATACTAAAGGGCTTTATTGTCTTTTTCTAATTTTTATCTAGTTATGATTATCATCTACTTAATTCTTCTTCCTAAATTTTAGGAATATGTATTACTGTATTGGTAATTGACTAAATCATGATTTAGCTTTTTTTGGTTCCAAATTATAAGCTAAGCTTGAAGGTTTGAAGACTCCAAATTTTGAAGTCTTATTGTGTTCATCTATGGCCGATATGAATAATCGTTTAATTCACTACTTAGTAAAAACAGAATTCTCATTTTCGTCAAGAATGAAATTAAGATTGCAGATATTGAAGTTTATTGTGTTCATGAAACCATGAAATTATGAGTTATTTCATTACTTAAACCATGAAATCTTAAAACTATTCCTATAAATAGGGGTGTAAACAAGTTGAGAGCTCGGCTCGAAAAACTAATATCAGGCTTGAGCTCGACTCGAGCTCGATTAACTTTTTCAAATGAGGTTCGACCTTGAACTTGAATATTTGTTCAATGTTTGAACTCGAGCTTGATGCTCGTTTATGAGCTTGAATTCGAGATCGATTAACTTGTTTATTTACTAAAGCTCGATTTTTATATTTTGATTATATAATTTGAAAGCATATAAATATGTTTGATTCAAAAAAGTGTTTGCTCGTATGGCTCAGCTCGACTCGACTCGTAATATTTAATTGAGCTTTTGAACAAGTCGAACATTGGTATTATAGAGCTCGACTTGTTAAGTTAAGCGAACTTTATTTTGTGTTCGAGATCGACTCGAGCTCGATAAATATTAAGCTCGAGTAGCTTGTTAAAAGCTCGACTCATTTACACCCTACCTAGAACCATGAAATCATGAGTTTGTTCATTTATGAAACCATGTAAAGTTAATAACTTCCCTATTATCCAATTAAAATCATTTTCCCATCACTCCGGATGGCATGGTCGCACATCTCCCTATGTTATTGCATCTTTCCTCCCCCTCTCTTCTTCCGGCGTCACTGAACTCTTTTATCTTTTCAGTGATATCTTTTCAAAAGAAAATGAGCGGTCATTTAAATTACGATGTCGTTAAAATAATTTTTTTAAATTAGTTGTCCCATACTTTTGACACACGACGACAATTATTATTCTCTCTCCAATGAAAACTTAGGGATGTGGCAAAAATACTTTTCATGAACCGTCAATTCTTTCTCTCTCATCTCACCTATAAATATTCCTCTCACATATCACTCTTTATGTTCTCAAAACCTTCAAGGCAAATATATTCTCTCTAAAAAAGAACACCAATAACACCAAGAAGAACAAGCACTAACACTTTTCCTCAAATCTTCAAAAGTTTCAAGAAATGGAAGCAACCAAGATCAGGCTAGCCGACTCGCTCTGAACATCCAAAGCATGAGTGAAAATGGGGGGGGGGGACAAGATCAGGCTAATCGAGTTCGCTCTGAACATCGACTACGCAGTCATCCACAATCGGAAGGTGGATTTTGCTCAACTTATCTGTGGTGACCTAGTGATAAAGATCAACAGACGTCAAAGAGAGAAAGTTGTTCCATACACTCGCTTC